GTGGTGACTGGGAGCAGCCATTTTGAATGTTTATAAGTGGTGGCCATTTTGGATGTTTAAAGTGACAGTGTTCTCGTTCAGATTCCAAGGACCTAAGAATAGGCTCTGCTTGCCAAAGACAGAATGGATATACAGGAGGCTAATGACTGGAAAGGAGACAGGTGGTGAGTGCATAATGCTGCCTACTAGCGAATAGAGGAGCACAGTACACAGTAACCTGCTTACTCAGATACATCGAAACAAAACAAAGAAAATTAAAATCTTGGGCTTACTGCTCCAACATACAATCACCAACTAAATATAATCACAAAAACTTCACAGTGTCTCAGAGACAAAAGACCATCACAGTCCACACAAAGAAGCAAGATAAAGCAGTTGAGACATGGGATCAGGATATAGACCCAGAACAGATCCTCGAGGAAGTAGCAGCATTGGTACTCCCTGATAAGGAATTCAAAAGAATTATACTTAGGTACCTTCAACTGACTGAGAGACAGATCAAGGAAAACACTGACAAAATTGAAGAAAACACAGAGAAAACCCTAGAACAATTTCGAAAGATGATATAAGAACAAAATGACAAAATAAATGAGAAATTAGAAATGGTACAAAATCTATAGCTAGAAATCCAGAAGATTAATACTAAGTTCTCAGAAATAAGTAACATATTGAATGGGCAAAGGAGTAGAATTGAATCAATGGGATTGAAGCAAATACCTTAATACTTCTTTGGAAAGGGATTGGTCAGTAATATAAGATAAGATAGACATGTTGTTGTTGTTGTTACGTGCCATCGAGTCGGACCTGACTCACAGTGACCCCTCTTTGGGTTTCCGAGGTAGTATCACTACGGAAGTAGATTGCCCCATCTTCCTTCTGGGGAGTGGCTGGTGGGTTTGAACTGCCAGCCTTCTGGTTAGCAGTCAAGTGACTTAGCCACTGCCCTACCAGAGCTCCCAAGATAGACATACACACATATAAATCTATATGGACATAGATTTTGTGAATCCTAATTTTTATTTACTTTGATTCTTCTGTATGTTATAAAAGTCTATGTGGAAGTCCTTTCATGCCAGAAAGGAAAGGAAAAAATCTGTGAATAGGGTTTAAAACAAAATGAAGAAAGCCTAAGGTTCATGTGGCTTCAAAAGGAATAACCCACATGTAATTGGAATTCTGGAACAGGAAGAGACAAATAAAATCACAGAGAAAATTCTTGAAGATTTGTTGGAAGACAATTTCCCTGATGTGATGAAAGAGGAGAATATATACATTCAAGAAGTCCAACAAACCCCAAACAGGATAGACCCCAAAAGGAAATTACCAAGACATATCATCATCATACTCACCAAAACTAAACACAAAGAAAGAATCCTGAAATCAGCATGTGAAAAACGAAGTTAACCTACAAGGGGCATCCAGTAAGACTAAGATCTGATTTCTCAGCAGAAACCATGCAGGCTAGAAGGTGATGGGATGGTATATATAAAACCTGAAAGAAAAAAAAAATTCCAACCAAGAATTATATACCTGGCAAAATTGTCCCTCATGCATGATGGTGAAATTAGGACATTTTCAGATAAGCAGAAGTTAAAGGAATTCATTAAAACCAGGCCAAGCTTATAAGAGGTACTTTGGACAGAGAACCAACAGCAGCAAACAACACCTGACCATTAACACACATGATGACATAACCCAGAAACCAACCCAGTTATGGAAGTAACCAAAGTAAATAAGCCATCACAGTCCACACAAAGAAGTGCTGGTGAGACTGTCACATGTTGCTTCCACTGTGGAAAATAGTATGGTGATTCCTTAAAAAATTGGAATTAGAAATATCATTTGATCCAGCAATCCTAGGTTTTAGTCAGATCTTCAGGCCAACGTAATTCTGGAGTGTAGGGCTGATGTACATGAGTGCCAGGGAGATGGGGCCGTATGTGCTGTCCCAAAGTGAGAGAGTGGGGCTTCCATATCCAAGGGGCAAAAGAACAGGGCCTGCTAGGCCAAGGGGGTGAGATCACCACTCAGATGGACTAGGAGAATTGAGTCATCCAATGAAGGAGATCTGAATAGGTGCCAAGTGGACAATGGGTGGAATGTGGTAGTTAATGTTGTATGTCAGTTTGGTTTGGCCCTGGTTTTGAGTGGCTTGGCAGCTGATGATGAGATTGTAATCACCTCCATGGTGGAATCTGCTCTGAGATGTTACTCAGTGCAAAGGAATCTGCCTTTGGGGGTGTGGCCTGCTTACAGTATATATGGAGAAGCTTTGAGAATGGTCTCTAGATTCTTGGCACATCTGGATCTTGCATTTGGCCAAATCTCCATCTCCAGTTCCTGGACTTGAACCAGTGGCCTGCCTTGTTGCCTGCCGATTTTGGGATTGTGCCATTTTGCCTGCCAATCCTGGGTTCATCAGCCCTGGCAGCCGGGAGCTGCCTGAGTCAGAAGAAGCCTCCAGCTCCAGTGAGCCTAGAATAAGAAGTAGAGCTGAAGCCCAAAGTCAGAGGGCTTTCACCCAGCCCTTAGAGCCAGCACTCTGAATTTGGACTTACAGATTCCTCAACTGTAAGAAAATAAATTCCTGTTTGTTAAGCCATCTACTTATGGTATTTCTGTTACAGCAGCCCTAGAGAAACAAGGCAACCACTGAAATATATTCTTTAAAATGAGTGAATTTTAAGGTACTTAAATTATATCTCACACAATAGAAAATAAATTTTAAAAATGTTAAAAGATCACTAGTCACTTTTAGAGGTTGCTATGGCATGAACTCATTTTTCTACAACTCAGCAAATATGTGGAAATGATTTTATACTAACTGAATATCAGGGTAACCAAATAGTTGATGAGGGAAAAATTATTTTTAGTAGTTATTTTCCTTTCTAGAAGAATTGCAACTAATTAATGTAGAAGCCCTACTAGAATAGATAATCATCATCAATGGCTACTAATAGGGGAACTTTATGTAGCCCCCTGATCCATCTTAATATTAGTCAGCAACCAGAGATTATGGGCCTTTTGTTTCCCACCTATTGAATTAAACAAGGGAGTTTTGTTTCTACAGTTTTAAGATGAGCATTGGTAGGTATCATCTCAATATCTCCAGGCTCTCTAACTTTATTACATCTGGCAGCCTTTATATCAGATATATTTATTTAAAGGAAGATAGAGTTTGCATTTCTGTTTTATTTTATGTAGTTGTGTGATTTCTGAGAGGAGAAAGGACATTAGCTGTCTTTACCAATTGATCTCACATCTGGGAGTCTTGGGGAACTATTTCTGTAGACCAGGTAAGAGCTAATCAAGGCCTTTCTAGGCCAAGGGTGATGTTGATAAAGTAATAGGACTGATTGACTTGTTGCTTGGTGACGTTAAGCAGTGCACATAGTAGGGGCTTGATTAACATTTTGTTAAATGTTGAATGGACATAAGTGTATCTGTCTAGTTTTAGAGTTTCACTGGAACTTTGGTATGAATTGTGCCAGTATGTCTGTAAAGTTCATTACCATGGATGAATTGAGTCAGTAGTGGACATTAGAGGAGAGATTTCAAACTGGTGACCTATAGTCCAGAGCTAGCCCACAACTGTGCTTTATTTGGCCTCCATGAGATGTATGTGTGCTTAATTTTCTTTAATTTGTTGCCAACATTTCAAAATAGTGAGATTTCACATAAAAATTGGGTTTCTGGCATCTCTTGAAAAAGCAGAAGATCTGGCAGTGCTGGGCTTATATTCCCTCATGGCAACAACTCAGTTGAAGCAGAATGGTGCCTGCAGTAGACAAAGTTTCCTGCTATGTCTGTCACTCAGATCCTTGTGGGCTTTTGCATTTGTGACCCTTACTCTGGTGGCTTCAGGAAACTGTTCTTTAAATCTTGCATTGTTATTTTTAATTACCTTTCTTCTTATATTGCTGTTTAGCATATCATATGGTTATGACACTTACCTAATTAGAATGTAAACTCTGTAATGGCACTAAATGTGTGTCTTCTATTTCTGGATATTCTCCATAGTGCTGGCATAGTGCCTTAACAATGGGGAAGTCAGTACCTATTTATACATCATTGCTCTGATTTGGCAAGGTAATTGAGGAAGTCCAAGATGCCATGGCTTTCGAGACATTTTTATAATATTCCAAAGAATCTTGACACATTGGTTTGGAAATACATGTCCTCTGTTATCATCTTGGGGGTTAATAATGATAGTTCTTTCCTCTTATTTTTATTAATCGGTTTTCTGATCGGCACATGTGGATCTTGCATTTGGCCGAATCTCCATTTCCAGTTCCTGGACTTGAACTAGTGACCTGCCTTGTAGCCTGCCTATTTTGGCATCAAAATGATGATCCCAAATGATCCAGATGATTTAAATATTAAAACTACCAGATTAAGTCACCTGCATTATAGGCTTAGCATACAGAAATTTACACGCATACAGAAATTTACACATTAACTGTAAAATATTTTCTTGGCCGTGCTAATAATGTAGATTCTTTGAAACTAGATTTTACAAATATTTTCTCATAGTAAATGATTACCAAAAATGAGTGGAAAGAGCTGAGGTCTTTGCTAGGATATTCTTTATCAGGAAGATATGGAAAAATGAGTTCTTTTTTTTTTTTTTAAAGAAATGTTATTTGATGATACAGATACAAAGAGATCATGAGAACTATGGTGGTAATATTAGAAGTATAGGAAAGAACTTCATTGTGTGCATGTGGTTGGACTGTAGAGCTCAGTTCAAGAAGTCATTGAATCAATTACTATGAAGTTTTTGGAAATAGCTTATTTTATGAACACAAACCATATTTTCTTTATCCCTACACTAGCCAGTAGGGTGGGGTGGTGGTTGTGGTGCTTCTTAGTTGCTGTCAGCTCGATTCTGACTCATAAGGACCCCATGTAATTAGGAATGTCTGGTTTGAACATTGTAAATGTTGGTTTCATGCCATGAATATTTTTTAACGCTTAGTATATGTTAATTTTTACATTAGGTGAGAAATTCATCCACGCTTCTCTTTAGTACCTTGATCACAAGAATTTTTGGAGTTAAAAGGGCAAAGGATGAACTTTCCAAAAAAAATAGGTAAGTTACATCTAATACTACTTTTTAAATAAAACGTTGTCCTGTCAAAAATAATTTAAAAAATTTTGTTTACTTTTATAGATAGTCAAGAGCATAAAACTATGAAAATACTATAGTAGTTTATCCTATGCTGCCAAGTCCTAAGTCTTTGGGCAAAAATATCTACTTTATTTAAAAAGTGAATCTTTCAAAGCAACAGAAATACAGCAAAGTAGCAAAGGCTCAAATGTAGCACTTGTTTGTCGGTGCAACAGTTATAGCTTTTTTCTTTTCTTTTTATCTTCTTCAGGTATTTCTGAAATGCCTTACATTACTTTTCCTGATATGTCATCAAGTACTGATTTGTGTGATATGCTTGCTTTTACAGCTAGAAGTTTAAATGTTTATGATACTCTCATCAGAATATGTGCAGATTACCTTTCCATTAAACTCTGTTAGGAAGGAGAACAGTTACAGATCATGGTTATACATTAAGTAATGCTCTTTATATTTAGGCCTTGAGTTTTATGTTTACTCTTTAAGATGTTTTTTTCTTAACCAGGTTTTTTAATGTCTGGAAGGATATTTATGAAACTGTTTTGATTATGGGTAATTTCTAAACATGTTTAAGTTCTTTTTTGTTTTTAAAGAAGAGAAGCTTTGAATAGATGTTTCATTAACACTGAGGAAAATTTAATGGTAGTCTGGCTTGGTTGTAATTGTTAACACTAGATGTCGCTGTAGTTGCGTGGTTTAATGATTTTTTTCATTTAAGATAACAGTTTGTTTAGTGGTCCTTCCCTTAAGGATCTAGAGATAAATTAGGGCCAATTCCTCTCCTACTAAAAAAGTTAATTATTATATTTCAAATTTAGTTTTAGAGCTGTTTTTTATTAAGATGTCATATCCTGTGATGGAACTAAGTCGTAGGTGTTAGAAAATATCAGGAAAATTTTTTTTTATGATGTATTAGTGACAATAATTGTAATGAAACCTGTGTGGTAGTTCTGATTTGTCACTTAAATTACAGCTTATCACCCTATAAAATTCACCAAGTATATAAAAAAAAGGCAGCTACCTATTAGTATGAATCCTCTGAGATTATTCAGGAAATACTTGTTAATTTTTTTTTAAAACTGAGTTGTTTTTTAATTAATGATAAATTACTCCTTTGAGAATAAAATTTTAATTTTTTTTTAGTCTGTTCTTAAATTCTTTCCATCAATAGCTTGCAATCACTAGTGTTTGTTTTTCCTTAACTTTTTGTATTTTGTTAATAGTCCTACAGAGTGCTAGAGTTTAAAATGGTTGGGACATGTTATGAGGGCATTATAAATAGTTCCATTAATAAAATGGGGCAGTGGTACAATTTTGGCCTCCCATGCTGGAGACTTGGGTTTGATTCCTGGCCATTGTACTTTATGCTCAGCCACCACTTACTTGTCTGTCAGATGGACTGGGAAGAGGCTTGGCAATCTAATTCTGAAAATCAGTAAATAAAAACTTCAGGGGTCACAGTGCTACTAGTATCCTATTGTGCATGGGGTTGCCATAAGTCAGAGATCAACTCAATGGCAGCTAGTAAGAACAACATAAAATAAGAGATGAAATTATCAAACAAGTGAAATTAATGTTTAAAACTCAACTTGAAAATGAAAACCACGCATTTCTCTTTTAGTTTTCTAAAGTGATTCTTGGCTATGTATACACATTTTATTATGTACAGATTCATTTAGGTTGCATCTCGATGAGGGCAGAAGAGTAGAGCAGTAAAACCACAGCCTTAAATTAATCTTTTTGCCAAAGCCATGCTGATGAGAACCATCGTTATAAATTCATTCCTCTTGAAAAGCAAGGTTACAAAATATATAACTTTCCTAGAAAGAGGGAAATGGAATATTCCTGTAATTGCTTTCAGTAAAGTTCAAAAGTGAAATGAAGGAATTAGGAATTTAATATTTTTAATGTGATAAACATTTTTGGCAGGAGCCTTTATCTTAATAATCTGAAGATTAGCATGTATCATTCTGTATACTAGTCTTCTGTTCTCTGTTTAACTCTTGAAAAGTATATTTCTTGGCAGCACCCACTAAATTTGCTCTGCCAAAACTTTTAGTTCCTAAATTTGCAATTATTTGTAGTAGCTTTTCTTGTTTTTGTAGTTTATTTAGTTATGTCCGTTTTTGTTGAAATGTTTATATGTGGCTTCCCTATAGATTAACTCCTTGAAGGCAAGACTGTTTCTGTCTATTCTGTGTATAGATAAAGGGCACTTGAAGAATGCTGGGAGTAATGATATCATGTTGGCTGGTTATTCAACCATTGAATAACTAACCTTAGCTGATGAGATTCTCTTGGGCCAGCTAAATTTGCTTCCAGGGCCACAGATTGTCCTGCGTACCATCTTGCAAAATGTGTGCTCTGGTCAGAAGGGAACTGGACATAAAAAGAACATCTGCCTTTTCCATTCAGTGGGGGGAAAAATAACTGTCTTGGGGTAAACAGACTTGGTTTCTAGGCATTTTGCTGCCACTGGAGATGACCTGAATAGACTCCCTGATCCACTTTGCACTTTGGTTTCTCCATTTGTGTAAAAGTAATGTGCTCTGTACTCGTAGGACTATTGTGAGGATAAAACAGACTATTAAAAGTTCATTTTATTTGAAAATATTACAAGTCCTGAGCACATGTAGATATGTTTTGCTTTACCTCTCTGCAACTGCTGTAATTCTATTGCTGTACTCATCCCACTGTCTTGCTGTTAGACCATGCTGTTTGAGGACATGGTCAATATCTTAGCTATCCTTCTATACTTAGTACCTACCATAGTATGCATATAATAAGCATACATAAATACTTGCTTGATGAAACATAGGTAAGAAAGTAAATTTTGCTATTGTAGGAAAGAAACCAAAAACCAAACTCACTGCGTTGAGTTCAATCTGACTCATAGCCACCCCTCCTTGGGTTTCCGAGGCAATATCACTAGGGAAGTAAATTGCTCAGTCTTCCTTCTGAGGGGTGGCTGGTGAGTTTGAACTGCCAACCATCTGGTTAGCAGTCAAATGCCTTAGGTACTATGCCATTTATTTCTGTCTTTGTTGCTATATAGCCATGATAACTAACTGAGACAGGTTAGTTTTCCTCTCTGGTCTTAGTTTTCTCTTCAGTAAAATAAGAGTTTTGGAATATCCTTGAGGTCTCTTCTTTCTATGAAATACTACAGTAAGGCTTTACATAAGGAACCCTGGCAGTACAGTGCTTAAAGTGCTTGGCTGTTAACCGAAAGATCAGTGATTCAAACTCACCAGTCTTTCCTCAGGAGAAAGATGAGACAGTCTGCTTCCATAAAGATTATAGCCTTAGAAAACCCATAGGGCAGTTCTACTCTGTCCTATAGGGCCACTGTGGGTCAGAGTCTTCTCTATAGTAGTGGATGTTAAGGCTCTTATAATTATTATTTAAATTCTGAGTTTGATAAATTACTGTATTCCCATTGCCTAGAGCAGTAACTGCCATGTTGTAGGGATAAGGTTTTCCTTTTCATCTATCAAGAAAGGAGTAGAAGTTGTGCTTCCCCATTTATATGGAGAGAGTATATAGAGTGCATTTGTAATGATTGAATTTTTAAGCTTATTTGGATCATGAAGAATGAGAAAACACAAATTTTACTTGTGTGTTCTCAAATAATGTTAAAATCAAAAAATCCAAAAAAACTCACTGCCGGCGAATCAGATCCAACTCATAGCGACCCCTTCTTGGGTTTCTGAGGCAGTATCACTATGGAAGTAGATTTGCCCAATCTTCCTTCTGAGGAGTGGCTAGTGGGTTTGAATTGCCAGCTTTCTGGTTAGCAGTCAGGTGCTTTAGGCACTATGCTACCAGAGCTCCTTTAAATAATGTTACTACAGTTTAGTTTTCTAAAGCTTCTTTTCTTTTTGTTTGTTGCCATCTGACTGATTTGACCTGACAGAATGAATAGCTGATTCTTTTTAGAATCAAATCCAGCATAGTTCTGTGATCCGGGAAGTATACTAAGCTATAAAAATATCTCCAATTTTAGTGCCAGAAAGCTCACCTTGATAATTCCTCATTTTTAATGAAGAAAACAGTTGTTGTCAAGTTGATTCTGACTCATGGTAACCCCATATGTGTCACAGTGGAACTGTGCTCCATAGAATTTTCAATGGCTGATTTTTTAGATGTAGATCACCAGGCCTTTTTTCCTATGGAAGTGTATGCCAACCTCCAACCTTTCAGTTAGCTGCTAAGTGTGTTAACCATTTACACCACCCAAGAACTCCTGAGAAGCATTAATTTAGAATTATTTGAGTACCTGATTCGTCAAATCTTTATATAGGTGCTCAATGTATAGTATTATACTTTCACTTTTTCTCTTTATTTTAAATCAGTCAATAAGAATGTGTAAACAAGGCGGGGGGGGGCAGGTTTACTGGTCCGATAGAGCCTGGTGGAACCACTGAGACTATGGCCCGTAGCTGCCCATCAGGTCTGGAATTAAACCCACACCTGTGGCTTCCAGCCAAACAAAAGACAGACATATGAGTTGAACATTTACCTGAGCTAGATACACTCCTTGGAGAGAACAATCATGGGAGAAAGAAGGGCTGCTTATGCACAGGGAGACAGCTCGGGGGTCAGGAGGGCATGGAGGGATGGACACTGGGAAGAGGTAATTATTGGGAGGCAGTGGGAGGGGAGCTGTTGCATTGTGGTAAATTGTGGTCAGTGTCATTAGACAAAGTGTATGTGAACTGCTGTATGGAAAGTGAATTTGCTCTGTAAATCTTCACCCAAATCACAATTAAAAAAAAGAGAAGAATATATAAACACTTACCATGAATTCAAGGAGCCCTGGTGGTGTAACAGTTAAGTGCTTGGTTGGTAAATGAATCTGCCAGAGAATGACTTGACGATGCTTCCATAAAGATTACCTAGAAAACCCTATGGGGGCCGTTCTGCTCTGTTACGTGATGCCACTATGAGTTGAAAATTGACTC